GCATCCTCCAGACCAGGGAGTAGCAGTTTCTGGAAGGTGTTTGAAGTCTGTGCTATCAACAGGTTACAAAAGACGCTTTGGGAATTTTCTCCTGCCTGATAACTGGGAGGGTAGCCTGACTCCGAATAGGTTCACATTGTTCTAGGACAAGTGATAGCTAGGTTGACAGACAATGAATCATTTTAGATTTTAAAAAGAAAACAGAAAAGAAACATTCCGTATTGTTGTCCTCAATATTTTCTTACTTACTTCCCCAGCGCCAACCAGAATGAGGGTAATTGAATTTTCTGCATTTGCACATATAAGTAAATTGAGGCTCCAAACTGTTAAGGCAACTTCCCAAGTTTGAAAGGCAAGGTGTGGAGGTCAGGGAGTGGTTAGATGTGTGATTTGTGGCTGGGGCTGTTTGACTTCAAGGGTGAGCCAGGACTTCTGCCACTCTACCACATTTGCAAGATGCTTTGAGTGCTCCAGAAACAACAGGCAGCATGTAAGGCAGCCCATGTAAAACAGGCCTGTGTAATTTGTAGAATCCTGTGTAAAATGAAATCATGAAGTGTCTAGTTAAAGATCTCTTAAGAATTCAAGAAGATCCTCCCAACACCCTTTATTTGGTGCTCCCTTCTCTTTCTGAGCTGCCTTTTCCCCTAGCATGTGTGGCTGACCTCCAAGCCATGGAGCAAAATTCCTGGTACTAATCTCGGCCATTCTTGGGTGTTAGTCTCCTATTTTTTCCTTTATGTTCCCCAGAAGAATGCAATCTTTCTATGTTGATCATTGTATAATTGAAACCCAAGCACAAAATTTGTAAGTCTACAACTGTACCTCATGGTGTCTCACTAATAAAAATTTAAAAAAAAGATGGTGTCAGGGTAGCACAATAAATGGAAATATTAAAGTTAAAAAAAATTCAAGAAGATAGCAGCAGCGCTTTATTTTATTTTATTTTATTATTTTTTTTTTGCCCTTTTTTGGGTCACACCTGGCGATGCTCAGGGGTTACTCCTGGCTTTGCACTCAGGAATCACTCCTGGCAGTGCTCAGGGGACCATACGGGATGCTGGGAATTGAACCTGGGTCGGCCGCGTGCAAGGCAAACGCCTTATGCACTGTGCTATTGCACCAGCCCCAACAGCAGCGATTTAAACTACGAACAAAACCTTGTGTTTCTGCACAGGTTGTAGGTCTAGGAAGTCAGTCAGCTTTGATGCTAAGTTGCTCTTCACAATCTAGGAATCAAACATTCTGATCAATGAAGAAGATCTGGGGTCCTAGGAGCTGGCTCAGTACTCAAGCATCTGCCTTCTAGCATGATTCCTCAAGTCTGACCCTCAGCACTGCCCACATGCCAAATGCAATCCAGGAGGCACTGCCCCGGAGACACAAAAGACTGTCAGACCCCTAGTCACCGCAGTGACAATGACAATGTCAACAACAGAAGGAAATAAAAGGAGAATAAAAAAGAAATAAATTATGCTCAGAGGTACCCTTGTAGGAGAATTAGCACCAGAGTTGAACATGGGATTGTAAAAATAGCAGAGAAAAAAATCTATGCTCATAAAGAATACAAAGGTAAATTTTACCTACTGTGATATGACTGTCAGAACATAGCTCTGGGAGTAACTATCCATTGTTTTTATAGACTTTGAATTTCTCAGGGTCAGTTTATTTATCTTTAAAAACAAGACTGGGAAGATTCGGGAAGTGGTAGATGAAGTTAGTGTGTCATAAATTTTATTAAGTTTTTCGTTCACACACCTTATTACTTTTTAAATGACAATCAATATATACATTTTTGGTGACTAGATAAGAGTTTTAAATGACTGCTAAATCTCATAGACAGGTTTATACAATTCCTTATTTTCTCCTCTTATTTGTTTTAAAATTTATTTTTACTTTTATTTTTTTCACTGTCTAGCTGTTGATTAGCAGTACTATAGAATTCTGAATTAGCTTCACATTGCTACAAATGTGCAATTTTCACTATCCCAGGCAGCAAAATTCAAAGGCCACCCAAAGGACCATTTCCCTTCCCTTCTGGTAGTCACTAAAGTTTCCACTGGATCTAGGAGATCATTTTGTTGTTTTAGTTGACAGTTCATTTGATTTAATAATTCATATTCCACATATGAATGACACTACTGTCTTTCACTTCCTTCCTTACTTCACTTAGCAGAATCACCTCAGATTTCATTCATTTTTGTCCCTAAGGGCATGAGTTTATCTTGTTCTGATGACAGAGTGCAGTGCCATTGCATTTATAGACTGCAGCGTCTTTATCCAGTCCTCTATAATAAGCATACATTTAGTGTGGTGACTGTGGCCATGAACTTCAGTTCTAGATGGTTCTGCAATATTTTAGCTATGTAATCCCAGCCAATGGTTTCAATTTCTTCATCTGTAAAATGGAGATTGTTGTCAGGATTAAGTAAGTGAAGCCCTGGGAATAATGGCTGATATGTTATATAGGTGAAAATTATTGCTGTGGGCCACATGAGACCTGTTTTAATACTAATGCTTTTTCTTTAATTTGCTACAATTCTAAAATTTGAAAATTTTACTAGATACGTGTATATATATTTTTCTAGTACATGTGAAAATGTATAAATACATAATCTCTTAGAAAGTTCATTTATGTATTCTCTGACAGCCCAAGTATTACCAGTGAATAGTTACCCCATTGTGGGAAGCATTGTACCAGCTAATACTCCAGGAATGAAAAAAATCTATGTGTATATATGTGTACATATGTCTAGGCCTTCATTAATTCCACAGATACCTGACTAAAATCTTTCTTCCTCCTTTAGTCACCACTATTATTGTAGAATCTTCCCGCTGGTTACCATATTCCAGTGGAAAAATGTTCAGAGCGGAACATGATTGCCACTCAATGCCTCTTTTGCAGACCACAACACCCAAAAGGAGAGAGAGAACAAAAGGGAATGCCCTGCCACAGAGGCAGGGTGGGATGGGGGAGATGGGGGTGGGAGGGATACTCGGATCCATGGTGGTGGAAAATGGGCACTGGTGGAGGGATGGGTACTTGATCATTGTATAATCGAAACCCAAGCACAAAAATTTGTAAATCTACAAGTGTACCTCATGATGTTCCACTAATAAAAATAAAAAATTAAAAAATAAATAAATAAAGTTTTCCTAATTAAAAAAATGTTCAGAGTGAAGATACTGTGAACAAATAATTTTATGGTTAAAATTTCATCAAGTCAGAGAGGGCCTATTAAAAAGTAGTGAAAATTGGGACAATATGTTAACTGGAAGGCAGAGAACTGCGGAAAGAAATAAAGAACTTGCTGGAAGATGTATTCCTTTTCCTCAGAGGACAGTTTTCCTATAGGTTCACTTCAAATTCCACCTTTTCAAATTCCTTCCCGGGTATTATGACAAGACGTTTTGGTTTTTCTCATCATTGAATGTATTTATAAAGCACCTAAAGCATTCCAGGCATAGACCATACAAGTTAAACGCCTGTTTATCTGTGTTCAAGAAGTGGGTGGACTGCTAATCCACCTGCCTCAGATTAGTTGATTTACCGCCTTTCATAAGACAGGTTTTCTTATTTTTTTTATCACTTTCCTATTTAAAATACATAAAGATCCTCTTTCACTTAGTATTTATTATCACAGAGCCCAAAGTTTACCAGTTGTATAGAGAACTACATTGATTAGTGACTACATTATATGCCCGAAACCCAATCATGAACAACTTTGTTACTGTCTATTTCACTGCAATTAAGTAAAAAAATAAAGTAAAATGAAATATTCATGACAAAAAATTAAAAATAACTCTTCACTTAAATACCCTCTTAAGTCATCACAAGCACCAACCCCAGCAACCTCATATACATCAGTACTTGTCAGCAAATATTTGCAAAACCATCGTGCAAATATAATGTAAATTGGTCACAAAGGAAAATTAGGGATCTTAGAAAATGTATGGTACATCTTGAAGGGAGTGATATTGAATTTAGCAAAAGACTCTAGACTCCTCAGAGAATCATATTAGCTATTAACCAAAGAGAAAACCTACAGAGGATGATGGCATGATATGTACTTTCCAAGAGAAGGATTGGAATATCAAATGTCAAGACAGACTTGGGTAAAAAACCAAACATTTAAGTATTTTACAAAAGCGGTATGAAGTGAGGGATGTTAAATGGTGCCGCAATGCAACTGTGTCAGAAAAAATTATGCTAAAAAATCCACACTTATTTCATACTCTGCTCATTAAAAAATATTAGGAACTTGGGATATCATTCCGTGGTGAAATATATGCTTTGTATGTGTGAAGCTTTGGGTTTAATTTCTGGCAACATGCACACAAACATATATATACACACATACGAAGGTGAAAATTAGGGGCATGGCCACTATTTAAAGAGTATAAGAATGTAAGATAAACAAAATTTCAAGATTAATTTTTAGTTTCTAAGATAGAAATCCGATAAAACTTCACCACTCTCACTTTTACTGTTATTTTTTCCTCTTATTTTCAGTCTGGATTTAGCTAATGTGAACTCCTTACCTATAAGAAGAGCATTCAGTAGTAATTTTTTTTCAAATAATTTTTTTATTTGATTTTTTGGGTCACACCTGGCGATGCACAGGGGTTACTCCTGGCTCTGCACTCAGGAATTACCCCTGGCGGTGCTCAGGGGACCATGTGGGATGCTGGGAATCGAACCTGGGTCGGCCGCATGCAAGGCAAATGCCCTACCCGCTGTGCTATTGCTCCAGCCCCTCAGTAGTAATTTAATGAAGTGGATTGATCAGCATCATTCTTCAGAACCAGTGTCGGCATCTCTAACAGGGAGAAAGAGCACCACGGACTGTATTGATTCTACTGCAGAAAGCAGCAGTTTATAGAATCGGTCAGCTTTCTCTCAGAATGGAGACGGCTGGACCAGCTAAAAGGTAATTTGGGGATAAGCCTGTAGAAGGCCTTTCCCAGGAACTCCCAAGGCTCCAAAGGAAGTCGCTTACCCACAAAGCACCAGACTGCAAACCGGATCCATGTGATGGTGGAGAGCTTTAGCATGAGATAGATGTTCACCAGCATGGCAAAGGCGGGCACGAAAGGGAGGCAGGGGGCCATGTAGGGCAGCTTCTTGGGGTTCTCTGGCTGCTGCAGGATCACAAACACCAGGGCGCTGATCAGCAGCACCATCAGAACAACCAGAAGGATGGCCCACCAGCTCTGCTTTGAGATGTAGTCGGAACCAAAGATGATGAAGGAGCAGAAGATGAACATGAGGATGAAGAGCAGGAGCACGCAGATGGTCACCGTGTGCCCAGTAGCAGCGGTGGGCCGGTCCATTTTGCCTGGAAGGCCCAGCCGGATCCTCATGGTGTAGTAACGGGGCCCAATCAACTTCTTTAACTTGATGAGATAGATGTTTTCCGATTCATCAGCTTCTATGCCTGTGGTCATGTCCACAGTGCCATAGTTGGGGTGATTGACATTGTAGGTGGACTTGTCTGACTTTCCTATGAGCATCTCGTTGTCTCCCAAGGATGGCAAGTTCTTGGCCCCACAGGTGTTGGTGGCTGGGCCAGAAAACTCTTCTTCACTCACAGGGGAACACACATCCTTTTCACAGTCAGCCAGAATGCCTTCCTTCTTCTTTGTGTGCTCCTCAGACAAGAACTTGACAAAACCATCAATGTCACTCTCTGGCTGGTATCGTAGGAGCAAGACACAGACAGAGACCAAGGTGTAAGCGAGGAGTGTGCCAATGGACATCATTTCTATGAGGTCTCTCAGGCTGACCAATAGTGACAGGAGAGCTGCCAGGAACCCTGACACAATGCAGGCCACCACAGGTGTTTCTGTGAAGGAGCTCACATGAGCCAGGAATCTGGAGAGAGGCCCGAGAAGAGCGTTCATTAACGGATTAGTTTCATAGCCCATCATCACCAGCCTCTTTTCCATCTGCCCATCTCTTTAGAACGCTCTGGGCTACACTAGCACGCGACAGGGACAAATGGAGGCATTACTGGTGCCCACTCAAGCAAATCGACGACTAATGGGAAGTTAAGTGATTTTAAGTTAAGTGATCTCTTTAGAAGTTCTGACCCACTGATAACTTTGGGGCATATTACAAGAAGGTATTGAAAACGATGACAGCTATTAACAGAGATAAAGTCTTAACTGGATCCCTCTGCACTTACGAGAACAACGTGGTGCTTGGTTCTCCACGGCTTACTCCTTACTTGTTGCACTGGAAGAATGCTTTCCATGCAAGCCTCTCAGAGAGTGTGCTGGGAACTCAGGTAAGGAGTTACCCACTGCAGTTTGGTAGGCAGCCACTCTCAGTCAAAGTAGGTGAGGACTGAAGGGTCAATCAGGTGACAGGGTTAAAATTTAAACACTAGGCTATATCAGGTTAAAATCCTAGCCTCCTTAGCAGTTAGGGAACTTGAGTCATTTTTTAAACCTATCTGAGAACACTCATCTAGAACCTTTAGGATACTGTGTACAAAATATACAATATAATTGCACAGATGCTTCCCAAATGGTAGCAACTGCAGTTACGATTATTAGACGTTATTTAGGTGAGTCTTATCTTCTCTGTGTAGCTTTGAACTTGATCTAATTCAGAGGAATTAAGGGGAGAAAGGCAGTTATGAACCCCAACGTGAGGGCAGGCCCAAAATGTCCTTCTTCTGGGTTCTTCCCTCTAGAGGTCACCAATTTGGCACCTACTGTCTTCATAAAGGTAGACACAATATCAAACAGGAGGGGAGGGAGCAATTTGAGGAACACGGCAGTGAGGGTCCTAGAGACAAACAGATCTGATTAAGGGCCTTTGCTCTTTTCAGATGCTCACACCAAAAGAAGGAGGCTGACCACAGTGAGTCCTTACCTGAAAAGAAGCCCATCACCAGCCATGGCGTAAATGACTCTTGGCATTGGAAAGAGGGAGCCCAGTAAGCTGACAGTCAGCCCTGCCACAGAACCAATGGCCACTACGAATTTTGCAGCATAGAAGCCATGGACCACAAACATCTCCATGAGTGGGGATTCCGTGTCAATCGCATAGTATGGCACCATTAGAGTGAGGATCATGCTCACCTGTTGAAACAAGAGTTAGGATCATGATCTGTTGAAGTCATCTAAGATCCCACTGGATGCCTCCTCCCAGGAGAGGAAATGTATCTGTACCTGCAGTCAGAGGCCTGTGTCGTCTTGGAATCTGCCACTTCATGGTATGTGCCTTTACTTTCAGTTATTTGGGTCCAGAAACTCTAGGATTCAATTCTCCCCAGGTAAGAGTTTGGTCAAATAAACCAGATAGACTTTAATATCACTCTGAGGCCCTTTCAGATGGGAGGACTAAGATGGCAGGTATTCAGTCTTACAAAAGCAGAACTACATTACAGTTAAAATGGGAGCAGTAGACAAATACACAGGAGCCAAGGTCTGACAGGAAATATTTTTGGCTTCCCCAGCTATGCTCAGGAGCGGAGAGGGTACTCCCAGCAAGATTCAGCCTCTCTGTGTGGGCCTGATGGTTCAGTTCTCAGGCCCAACAATGCAGTACTGTTCAGGCTGGCAGTGATAGGGCCCACCAAGGCCATGCCCAATGGTGATGGCGGGGTATGTGGTGGCAGGGATCAAACTCAAGACCTCCCATATGCAAGTCAAATACTCCAGTCCTCTTATCTAAGACTCATTAATTTTTTTCTTGATGCCTGATCAAACCCATATCTCATGCATGCAAGGCATGCACTTTACCATTGAACCACATTCCATGCTTAGATTTTAATTTCTTCTATATTTTCAGTGTCTGATATGATCTTATATGTACTTCTTTCTACCCCAAGACAAGAGATGAATCAGAACTCCAAAGATAAGTGTCTGCATCCAATTATGAAGATTAATAGTTCCACTTTCTCTCTGTAATTCACTCTTAGGAATGCGGTAGACCAACAAACTATGACATCAAAATGGCATTCAATAGCTTTGCTTAAGAAAGACTCACTTGGGACTCCCAGGTCCTGTGTCCTTTTGTGTATAAGAAATGCCACTAGAGCTCTTGCTTAAAAATTGGTTCTGAGAAGTGGAATAGCACATTCTATGACCAGCTTGGGTCTCCCTCCTCTTATAACACTCCTGGCTTGTAAAGGCCAATCCTGGTATCATGAAGTGAGTTTATAGCCTTAAAGGGAGAGTGAGACAATTCTAGATCACATCTTTGCCTAATGCTCAGAAACAAACATCTTCCAGGAAAGTCATGAGCACCTAGAGATGGAGGGTAGCTCATGACTTTCCTGGAAGATGTTAAAGTCCCAATGTGGGTTGGGGTGGTCTGGGTTGGAGAAGAGTGGAACTAATGATTCTTACAACATTTCAACTGGAGTCTCCTACCTATGCAGAGTGGAATGGGTAAAGAGTTGATAAATAGGTAGAGCACCCTGTAGTTTATATATACATATATATATATATATTTTATTTTTGGGTCACACCCAGCGATGCACAGGGGTTACTCCTGGCTCATACACTCAGGAATTACTCCTGGTGGTGCTCAGGGGACCAGATGAGATGCTGGGAATTGGGCCCGGGTTGGCCGTGTGCAAGGCAAATGCCCTACCCACTGTGCTATTGTTCCAGCCTCACCTGTAGTTTTTTTTTTAAATAATTTTTATTAGTGAAACACCATGAGGTACAGTTGTAGACTTACAAATTTTTGTGCTTGGGTTTCAATTATACAATGATCAAATACCCATCCCTCCACCAGTGCCCATTTCCCACCACCATGGGTCCCAGTATCCCTCCCACCCCCCATCCCCCCATCCCATCCTGCCTCTGTGGCAGGGCATTCCCTTTTGTTATCTCTCTCCTTTTGGGTGTTGTGGTCTGCAAAAGAGGCACCTGTAGTTTATATTTAAAAAAAAACAACTATTTTGAGGAGTAAACTACCATCAGTAGCTTTACTGTGTACTCCAAGAGTCCCCTGCATGAGTGGGAAGGATTAGGGAGGAAGAGGAAGAGGCAGCAGCCCCTGCAACCTTCAGGGCTAAGCAGGGCAGGAGGAAGAAGATGAAACTCGAGTATGTGTGTGTCCAGGTGGCGGTAAAATCAGCACACCCATGGATGCCTGGTAGGCAATGGAATCTCTCCTCTGAGGATTGTCAGTCAGAAAAGGGTGAGTTTGAGCAGAGAGAAAAAGAGGAAGCAACAATGGAATGGAATCGAGCCCTCCCCCCTCCTTGGAGATTGAAGGGGAAGAGCAACTCCAGAGGACAAAGTGTTGTCTCTTCCCGTTCTGGGGTAGCCCAGCCTCTTGCTGCCGGGAAGCTCCCAGAAGACAGAAGAGCATTGAGGAGGAGGCACAGAGGCCACAATGCCTCTGCTCGCACACCCACCCGTTACTGCCAGCCTATGATCTGAGCTCCCTGGACAGCAGCCCATTCTTCGTGTCTCCTCCTCTGAGCTGTGGTGGAAATCATCGGTCTGTGCAGAGTGTTGTGGGGCTGGGGGCAGTATGTGAAAATATCTGTGGCCATAGCTGAAGCAAAGATCTGGAGCTTCTCCCAGCTCCAGTTTGGAGTCACCAGTGGGTGGGGACCAGGGAGCAACACACACACACACACACACACACACACACACACACACACACACACACGCACAAACATAATCCAGGAACCCAATTTCAGAGTCATGATTTAAGGTTTTGTTACTTACAGATACATATGCTGTCAGGCAGATGACCAGGGAGGCAGTGATCGCATAAGGGATGGATGTGTTTGGGTTCTTGGCTTCCTCTCCAGTGGTGGCAATGATGTCAAAGCCAATGAAAGCATAGAAACACGTAGCGGCTCCTTGCAGCACCTGAAGGGAGGTAGTATGTCAGAGTCAGAATGTCAGGGCAGCACCAGAGCCTTATATGTGAAATCCAGAACTGCCCCAGAATTGGCAGGCATCACTGAATGGTGAGGGGGATGACAAGGTGGAAACAGGGTTGAATATAAATTCTTATCTTTTCTACTCTCTATTGTGTGACCCTGGGAAATTCCCCAAGTGTCAAATAGAGATCAGAATTATTCCTAGGTGTCCAACAGATGAGTGGATAAAGAAGGTTTGCTACACATAATGAATGATATGCAGCTCAAGGAATCATGTAATCAGGAAATTCGCTGAGACTTGGATGAAACTAGAGGATATCAGGTTAAGTGAAGTAAGTCAGAGGAAAGAACAAATACTGGATGATCTCAGAATAATAGCAGGGAAGGAGCATGCAAGATATCAAAGTGGAGGGAGTATCAGGATTACCTTGGCCCTAGATTATAGACACGAGAAAGAAAATAAAATGATGAAATCAAAAGAAGAGGCGAAAGGGAAGTAACAGGACAGTAGTCAGGGACCCTGGGCACACTGGTGATATAGAGGTAAGGTACAAGTACATATCTAAACCTGAGTCAACAATGCTTTAATCATGGGTCCCAAGCTAAGGTGATCAAACACAAAGTTGTGCCTGTTAGGGAAGCAGGTTGGGGATGGGAGGGAACCTGGGGACATTGGAGGAGGGAAGGTGACACTGGTGGTGGCCTTGGGTATTGAAGGGCAAGGTGATATAAAGCTGGTGAGATAATATCTGTAGCATCTGCTGGGCGCCTGCCTCTGAAGCTCTGAGGGCAGATGGTATTTAAGTTGAGGTGAAATCAAGGTGTCAGTGAAATCTCTTGAGGATTGTGCCACTTTATTCTGAAAAAGTCATTGAAGTTTGTTACATTTCCCACCTTTGTATTCTCATTAGCAGCTGAAAAGAAAGAAAAAAAATGAGCCTCTTTAAAGATTTGTGGATGTTCTTTTAGGGGAAAGATAAGCGATTTTTCTGGGCTAGTCTGTATGGGTGAGAGGACTAGGCACCTTTTTTTTTTTTAACCTTTTTTTATTGACTTGCCCTGAGATACAGTTACAAGCTTTCACGTTTGAGTTTCAATCATACAATGACCAAACACCCATCCCTCCACCAGTGCACATTCTCCACCATCAATGTCCTCAGTATATCCCCCCCCCCCCCATTTCCAACCCTCTCCCTGCCTCCATGGCAGACAATTTCCCCCATACTCTCTACTTTTGGGAATTATGGTTTGCAATACAGACCCTGAGAGGTTATCATCTACTTTCAGCACATATCTCCCATCCCGAGCGATCCCTCTAACCGCCGTTGATTTAGTGATCCCTTCTCTATTCCAGCTGCCTTCTCCCCCCAGCTCATGAGGCAGGCTTCCAACTATGGGGCAGTATTCCTGGCCCTTGTGTCTACTGTCCTTGGGTGTCAGTCTCCTCTTATGTTATTATATATTCCACAAATGAGTGCAGGGACTAGGCAACATTTAAGCTCAAGCCAGGGAGCCAGGAATCAGGACTCTATGGATAGGGCCATGTTTTCCTCTTCTTCAAATTCAATTTAGAAATAATGAAATGCTAAGCAGATCGATTACTGGTCCCTTACACAATTGATTAAGAAAAAAGGCTAAGTACTAACTCCTATAAGGTTCATCACAAAATAAAAGACACTACTATTCAAAAGCAACTGTTGCTCATCTATAAAGTGAATTGGTATCTTGGAAATCTCTCCCATTAAGATTCTGTTTCACAATCCAAGTGCCCTAGAACAGACTGTTAAAGAAACTTTGGTACCTCTACACATTGAAATATTATGCAGCTGTTAGGAGAGATGAAGTAATGAAAGTTGCTTATAAATGGATAGACATGGAGAGTATCATGCTAAGTGAAATGAGTCAGAAATAGAGGGACAGACATAGAAAGACTGCTCTCATTTGTGGAGTATAAAATAACATAACATGAGGCTGACACCCAAGGACAGTAGATATAAGGGCCAGGAAGATTGCTCCATAGATGGAAGCCTGATTTATGAGTGGAGAGGAGAATGCAGCTGGAATAGAGAAAGGATCACTAAGAAAATGATGGCTGGAGGAATTGGTCGGGATGGGAGGTGTGTGCTGAAAGTAAAGGACCAAACATGATAACCTCTCAGTATCTGTATTGCAAGCCACAATGCCCAAAAGTAAAGGGAGAGTATGGGGAATATTGTGGGCCATGGAGGCAGGGGAAGGGTGGGGAAGGGGGGGTATAACGGGAATATTGGTGGTGGGGAATATGCACTGATGGAGGGATGGGTGTTTGATCATTGTGCGATTGTAACCCAAACATGAAAGCTTTCAACTATCTCATGGTGGTTCAATAAAATAATAAAAAACAAGATTTTGTTTCAATGCCATAATTGGGGGTTCAGATTCTAGAGTCATGGAATAAATATACAGATTTCCTGGATATTCTAATTACTCAGGTAGAAAGAACTAAAACAACAGAGTCCAGAAGACTACTTTCTGGAGAGGAAGTAAGTACCAGTTTCACAGAGAAGTTCTTCGTTTTAGACATGGGAAGTATCTTTGGCCTTGAAATTAGAAGAGAAGAAAAATTACATTTTATTTGCATGGGGTTTCACAGAAACCTATTGTTTCACTTGTTTAGAAAATATTTCTATTTTAGGCACTAGGGCTTCAGTTATATCAGTGGTATGGTGAGTGGTAGAGCCATATGTCCAAAGCACAGACTCAAGAACACTGAAAACATGAGATCTAAGCTGCAACCACTGAAACTCTGTAATTTTCCTGTCAGGTTGAATGGGGTGGGAGTTGGGATGGGGAGGGAATACAGGAACAATGGTGGAGGGAAATTGATACTGGCGGTGGGATTGGTGTTAAAATATTATATGCCTGGGGGTATGGTGCTATCAGCAGGTCAATCTGTACCTGTGAGGTGAGTGATCAGCAGCCTGATGGTGCCTTCAGACTTCTAGATACCCCAAAATTGCTGCTGTGCCTTTGGCCAGACCCCAACAACTTGGGGCCAAGTTCACCAAGAAAGTAAATGGCCAAAAGTTAGGTATGTGGGAGACACACCCACAAACCACCTCTGGCTCAGCTATAAAATTGGAGACAAGGCCTCTCTGGTTCCTGATCAAACTGCTTAATGGCCATTATCCCACAGATTCAAAAACAAATCTTGGAACCCAGCAGCTTTTGGCAGAAATGCCTCTGGTCCCCGCAGTAGGTTAACGGTGCCAGGCCACCCCAGGTCGGGATAGGTTTTGTGCCTTGTCCTGTTCCCCTTGGCGGCTCGGTGGCCACCATCCTCCAGAGGTCATTGGACAGTCAGGTTTGGGCCCTCAGTGACAGATATGCGGAGCCTCACAAGATGGGCCCAAGACATGCAGGGCCTCACGGGATGGGGGTGGAGCTGGCCCTTTCCTTTCCGCTCTAAGGAGACCCTGAGTCACCACCCATGAATAGCCTCTCTGGCTCGCGATCAAGCTGCTTAATGGCCATGATCCCAGAGACTAAGAAACAAATCTCGATACCCAGCAGCTTTTGGCAGAAATGCATCTGGTCCCTGCAGTAGGTTACTGGCTCTGGGCTACCCTGGGGGGGGGGGGGGGAAGGGTGCTGTCCCTCGCCTGCTCTCCCTTGGTGGCTCAGTGGTTGCCATCCTTCAGAGGCCATTGGACAGTCAGATTTGGGCCTGCAGTGACGAGACATGCAGGGCCTCATGGGATGGGGGTAGAGCTGGTCCTTTCCTTCCTGCCCCAACGAGACCCCGAGTCGCCTCCCACAAAAGACCTCTCTGACTCCTGATCAAGCTGCTTAACGGCCCTGACCCAAGAGACTCAGAAACAAATCTCAGAACCCAGCAGCTTTTGGCAGAAATGCGTCTGGTCTCTGCAGTAGGTTAACAGTGCTGGGCTACCCCAGGTGGGAACAGGTTTCATGCCTTGTCTACTCTCCCTGGTGGCTTGTGGCCGCTATCCTCCAGAGGCCATTGGACAGTCAGGTTTGGGCCCGCAGTGACGAGACACTCGGGGGACTTGTGGGATGGGGTGGGGCCGTCCCTTTCCTCCATGCCCAGTGAGACCCTGAGTTGCTGCCCACAAACGGCCTCTCTGGCTCTTGATCAAGCTGCTTAATAGCCATGATCCCAGAGTCTCAGGAAAAAATCTTGGAACCCAGTAGATTTTAGCAGAAATCCCTCCAGATTCAATTGTTAAAATTTCGGAATTCTAAAATTGTGCGGCCACAGTAGTGGCCACACTACATCATATATTATTCATAATCAGCAACTGAAAACAAATTGTCTACGGTTGACTTTTCAGCAGATCTGAGTGTTGGGGTAAAATTCCAAATAATAATGGTGGGTCTGGTGTCAAAATATTGAATGTAATCAAAGTAGAGAGAGAGTAATGTGGAAATCATCTGCCCCACAGGTAGGGGGAAGGTCTGGGATGGGGGGTATACTGGGGGTTATGGTGGTGGAAAATGGGCACTGGTGAAGGGACAGGTGTTTCATCATTGTATGACCAAGACTTAAATCCGAAAGCTTTGTAACTGCTCTCATGGTGATTCAATAAATAAATTTATAAAAAGAAAAAAAAGTAAGGTGGAGTTCATGCCCAATTCAATCAGCCTAATCAATGGCTGAATAAGTAGGAATACTCCTAGATTAAAAAAATAAAATATTATATGCCTAAAACTCAATTATCATAACTTTGTGAATCACAATTCTTTAATAAAAAAGAAAAAAGTAAAGCGAAAAATATTTCTGTTCGTCAAGGATAGGAAATGCTAAACAGCCCTGATCAAGAAATGTCATCGTTGATGACTTCTGTAAATCATGTGCTTTGTCTTACTTTAACATCAGACACACACTCACACACACACACACACACACACACACACACACACGAAAATCAAACAAACTTCTTTGACAAGTCTGAAGATGCCTCATACAACCACTGCATGGAGCAG